AAAATAGTGCCATAAAAAACAAAATAGAAACACAAATTAAGATAGGCAAGAAAATGGTAAGTGAGCACCTGTCCAGCCTAGATGACTTCAAATCGCAGGATCAGATGGATTATACCCCAAGGTTCTCAAGGAACTGGCAGATGTGATATCGGAACCACTGAACTATATTTTTCAAAGATCCTGGAACACAGGGGAACTACCAGAGGACTGGAAAAGAGCTGATGTAGTTCCCATCCTCAAAAAAGGAAAAAAAATGGATCCAGGAAATTACAGACCTATCAGCTGACCTCAATACCTGGGAAGATCCTGGAAAAGATAATCAAACAATGAATCAACGAACACCTAGAGGCAAACAAAGTCATTACTAAAAGCCAACATGGCTTTGTCAAAAATAGATCATGCCAGACAAATCTTATTGCATTCTTTGACCAAAATTTTGAAAAAGTGACAAAATTAGTGGATCAGAGGAATGCTGTGGACATAATTTACTTGGACTTCAGTAAGGCATTTGATAAAGTAGATCACAACCTACTACTTGATAAGATAGAAAAATGTGGGGTAGACAGAATCACCACCAAATGGATCCGTAGCTGGCTGACCGGCCATACTCAGCGAGTGGTCCTCAATGGAACTGCATCTATATGGAGGGAAGTGTGTAGTGGGGTGCCCCAGGGCTCTGTTCTGGGCCCAGTGCTCTTCAACATCTTCATCAACGATTTGGATGAAGGGATAGATGGGGAACTCATCAAATTTGCAGACGACACCAAGCTGGCAGGAATAGCCAACACTCCAGAAGACAGGCTTAAGATACAGAAGGATCTGGACAGACTTGAACACTGGGCACTAACTAACAAAATGAAATTCAATGGTGAAAAAAGCAAGGTTCTACATTTAGGCAAGAAAAACCAAATGCACAAGTACAGCATAGGTGGCACCATGCTCAATAGTAGTAACTGTGAGAGGGACCTCGGAGTCCTAGTAGACAATCACCTAAATATGAGCCAGCAGTGTGCTGCAGCTGCCAAAAAGGCCAACACAGTGCTAGGCTGCATTAACAGAGGGATAGAATCAAGATCACGTGAAGTATTAATACCACTCTTCAATGCCTTGGTAAGGCCACACTTGGAATACTGCATCCAGTTTTGGTCACCACGATGTAAAAAAGATGTTGAGACTCTAGAAAGAGTACAGAGAAGAGCAACAAAGATGATTAGGGGACTGGAGGCTAAAACATATAAGGAACGGTTGCGAGAATTGGGTATGTCTAGTTTAACGAAGAGAAGGACAAGGGGGGACATGATAGCAGTATTCCAATATCTCAGGGGCTGCCATAAAGAAGAGGGAATTAAGCTATTTTCCAAAGCACCTGAAGGCAGGACAAGAAGCAACGGTGGAAACTAATCAAGGAGAGAAGCAACCTAGAACTAAGGAGAAACTTCCTGACAGTGAGAACAATTAATCAGTGGAACAGCCTGCCTCCAGAAGCAGTAAATGCTCCAACACTGGAAGTTTTTAAGAAGAGACTGGACAGCCATTTGTCCGAAATGGTGTAGGGTTTCCTGCCTGAGGAGAGGGTTGGACTAGATGACATCCAAGGTCCCTTCCAACTTTATTACTATTAATATTACTAAAAAAACTGAAAACATTGAATTGAATACGTTATTTGGCCAAGTGTGATGAGACACACAAGGAATCTTTGGGAAGAACAAGAGCTCCATGTCTGCTCTGTTTACCAGGGTCTGGCTGGCAGTTGGACTTGCCTGCTTTCCCCAAGTGGTCAACACATTTTGGAAGCTTCCAGGTTTGGACAGTGTGATTGGAACTAATTGCTTTGAAGTCATTGTTAGTTCTGAATGAGGTTAGGATGCTTTTATGGCCTGCCACAGGGAGGATTAGAAACAGCTTCCAAGGAAGAACCAAGTTTATAAGTCAGTCCTAGTTTGTGTGCCCAGCCTCTCCAGCGTACCTTGCATCTCTTCACTGTCTGATCTTGTTGTCTACTGCTGCATTCTCTCCCCATATCTTCAAGAAGATGTGCTGGAATTATTGGCCAGGTGCAACTAAGAACTAACTGACCATGGAAGTGCTTCAATTTGCCACTTGTTTGACTTCATTAATTGTGCCACAGTAATCAATCCAGCAAAAGTGCTTTGTATTGGCATTTCAGCTTTGTCTAACTTCTTTTTTTACTTTGCAAAATGAAGGAGTTGTTGGCTCTAATAAGCAACCCAAGATTGCTAGCTTTTGAGTCTTTTGACTCAATGTGTCTTTGGCAACTGTTTTCTGGACAATGTAGAAGAACTCTTTACAGGATCACTGATGTTGCTCTCTGCTTGCACTTACATTTTTTTTTTTTGAGTAAGTATCTTGTGGGCACTTTGAAGACTAAGAGATGTCTTTGGAGACTTCTGACACCTTTTTTTATCAGGCTGGGGTGTTCATATGTGTATAAATTTGGACACTGAAACAACAATTGCTGTATTGATCTAAGGTTCACTTCCCTGTTCAGCTAGAAACTGACAGATTTTGATAAAATGGTAGAATGAGCAGATTCTATCTAGAATGGGGGGGGGGGTTGTCTCAAAGACTTGCATCCCAAACCCTTCTGGGGGATAATCCGTGCCTTGAATGCCATTTGGAAATAAGCTGGTAATCAGTGCCTCTCCTGTACGAACAATGTAACGTGACAATAATGGGCCTGACTGTCATTGAATAGGCAGCTGGTTCTACACCAACTGAAGTATTGGAGTGATGTTCAAGTGCAACCCCATGCAGAGCAAATCACGGTATACCGCTGGACATGCTTGAGATTGCAGCACTAAGCAACTTCAAACCCCAGTGCTAACCTTCCTCCTAACAGGGAAGATGCCCATACAAGTTAAAGGAGACAGTCCTTTGTACATTTCTACAGAGGCTCCCAATTAAATCTACATCTGAGTAGAACAGAATTGAAGATACACTTTAGCAAAATAAAAAGTTCAACCGTAGCTAGGTGCTTTGAATAAAATGTATTACATGTGTTTTCTTTATTGACTCATTTAATCTCAAATTCCTGTTTGCCTTTCAATGAAATGTGATGTCATTTATTGTTTGGCATGGAGAGAACTCTATGCCAACTGGACATCTCCAGTGGGCCATTTTTGAAGGTAGCATTTTATGTGCATGGATATTGATGTCCTCTTTGGCTTCTGGACGGTGCGGTGGCTCAGCAGTTAAGATACTGAACTTGTCAGCTGGAAAGCTGACAGCCCAGGTTCAAGACCTCAGCACCATGCACCTGGGTGAGCTCCCGTCCTCGTCCCAGTTCCTGCCAACCAGCAGTTTGTATGAGAGTAGATAAATAGGTACCACTCTGATGGGAAGGTAAAAGCACTCCACGATGACACACTGACCACATGACTGTGGAAATGTCTTTGAACAGCGCTGGCTGCATGGCATCTTGTGGGCAATGACTAGCGGAGTTCCACAGGAACTCTTTGCCTATTTTTTTTATCTTTGGCTTCTGACACAGAAGATATCTGCGCTGATGCCCATGTTTGTTTTTTAATTATTTTTATCTCTTAGTTCAACATCAGAACCTGATGAAAGATGGCATGGCTCCTTGACTGTTTTAAATAGAGCCTGGTTTCACCTGGCTAGAAAAGCTGCAAGAAGAGCCCCCTCCCCATTTACTGTTAAACTGCATCTGGCCCATTTCTTCAGTCTCTTAAAATTTTCAATAAAACAGAGATGAGGTAGACATTTTATAGGTTAAGTGAACTTTTTCAATCATCCAAACCAGAAATTGATATCAAGAGTTTTCACTCTTTTATCTCAGACTTCTGCTTCCACATACTTTTCTCAGAAAAATGAAATAAGTACTGCTTGGGTCCCCCTTCTTGTTTTTTGCATTATTCCTATTGCGGGGTCTGCAGTTTTGCATTTTGCCCCCCACTCCGTCCAGTCTGCAGCGCTGGTGGGGCCTCCCATGGCTTCTCTGGTGGGGCCTCTGGGCTGAGGGCAAGCGCCTGCGTCCTGAAGGAAGGCTGGGCTGGGCTGCCTGCCCCTGGCCCAGTCCTGGTTGATAAGGGAGTGGAATTCAGCCACTGGTAATTAACCAATGGAAGCATTTCACTTTGTAAATTTGGGAGTTAAGGTGGGCATTCTTTTTTATTTTTTAATGTCATTATTGAAGAAATGTTTAAGACGAATTATACTGGAAAAGAAATGATGAATAATGAACAGGTAGGACGGAAAAAGAAAAGTCTTTTGACAGTGGTTATAAATGAATTTATATTTTACCCTCTGTTCTGGGTTATCATTTCTTTAATATAATTTTTATTGAAGATATTTTAACAAGATTAAAAACTATATAAACATTAGGAAAGTAACAAAGAAAATAAGGAAGAGTAGTGAATAATTATGAAAGAAAAAAAGAACAAAAAGATAGACACCCTTCTTTCTTGATAGGCACCATTCCGTTGAAAACTTGTATTTATTACTAATATCAAAGAACTAATATTTGGCTGTACTATAAAACGGTAAAACTGTATTTGTGACCTGTGGCAATGCTCTGCCACTTCTCCCGATAGGCAGAAGCTCCTCATTTAAAGAGTCAGGGAGCTTTGCCACAGAAGAAAAAAGGGTAAACTCTGAAAGAGGCAAGTTGAAGCTTTATGTCCAGAAGGAAGAAGGAACAAGTTCTACTCTTCTGTCCTAGGAGGGTTAGCGCTGCCACTCAGAAGATGTTTGCAGGTCATGGGAGGTTCTCTGAAGGGCAGAGATGAAGAAGGGCAGCACTTACAGGAAGCCCTGGGCCAGTGGGAGGTCTCCAAAATCCCTGGGGTGAAAAACCTACCTGATTCAGTCTCTGATGGTATTCTTGGGAAGCCCTTAGAGCAGGATGAGGTGCAGCCGTGATTCCTTGTCACTTTCAAGCATATGGACTCCTGGTAAAGGCTGGCTTCTCCTAAATCACCTGCTAATGTTTTTTTTTCTGATTTTCTCTTTTGCCTCCAAAGGCTGGAGACTGGAAGGGACCATGTTCTGCCTATTGACTATTATTTCCCACCCCAGAAGACATGCTTGATATGTGGGGACGAAGCTTCCGGATGCCACTATGGAGCTTTGACCTGTGGAAGCTGTAAAGTCTTTTTCAAAAGGGCAGCTGAAGGTAATTAATTCTTAATGTATTTATCCATTGGCGAATGAGAATGCCGGGGTCTGTATCACTGGAAAGATCGCCTCAGACACTATTGTTGACTAAAATACTGCAGAATATGGCTTGCTTGTGTGAAGGGTCCACCGTCAGAAACGGGCCCCATGGATAGGTGTCCTCTGCCTAATTGAGACCAGAGTATCGTAGATTACAGTCTGCTCCAATCGCGTTTTCTCCCAGGGCGGAAGGCTCTTGCCCAAGGGGCGAAAGGGGCAGCTTTCCTCCGTCAGATTTCCACCTCCCCCTTCCTTTCCCCAGCCTTTTGTTCTTGTGGAGAAATGAGATGAATTGGGTCGGGGAAAGGACTGGAGCTGTGCTTTCATTATATCCCCCCCCCCTCATGAAAACAGGACGATAGTTAACTAGTAAATCATAAATTCACCGTGCTTACCCCAAAGGTGATTTTACCCCATTGGCAGCTCTTAATTCTGTGATTGGTGTAGTTTTTATTCCTCGTTAAGCTGAATGGAGAGAAAGCATCTTGAGTTTTAAATTTTAAAGGAAGAGAAAGGGCCCAGCAGTTCTATGTCAATATATTTGGTAATATAAGTACTGCTATAAATCAAAGTAACACAGCTGCAATTTTCAGAGGGCATCTAACCGGCACCAGTCATAATTTTTCTCTTAACATGAACATCCACTAAAGCACCGGCTTCTGGCAATAATCAGTCATCTACTGGTTTTTATGATATCATTTAGCAAAGAAGCACTTCTTGGCCGAGCAGCCGATGCACTTGTGATTGGATGTCAGCCGTGTTCCCTCTGATATATTTTCCTTTCAATCATTAGGGAGGTTTCTGTGCTTCAGTTCTGGCACAACATTTGTAACTGTGCCTCAGATACTTACCCAAAATCTGTTGGAACCATTGAGATGGATTTGCTAAAAGCTAAAAGCTCGTTAAGTTTCTGTATTTCTGGACACATCACAGATTGTGAGCATGTCAGTGGCCTCTCATTTCAAACATCTGGGAGAACTATACCAGACTTGCCTCTTTGGCTGTCACAGAAGTTTATTGATTTATTTACTTAGCCTGCTTCTCCCCAGTGAAGTGGCAGAGGCCAGAGAAGGATCCTTCTGCGAGATTGGTGGAGTGGCCTTGGCAGAGAGTAGCAGGGCCCCAGAGTAAAACGTGGACCATCTCAAGTAGCTAAAGACAGAGGACAGTCCGAACAGTGGTGCTTTTTTCTTCATCTAGCTTGGAGATTAAAAGTAATAATAACACAATTATCCCAGCCATATAAAAAAGACTCCAAACACGATCCAAGTCCAGCCCTTAATGGAACATGAGATTTACTTATTCTCTATATCACCTGCAAACAAGACCTCTTTAGTTTCCTATGTTTGCTGCTCCCAGCAGGTCTTCCTTCTTCTTTTTTGCTCCTCTATCTCCCTTTATTTAATCAGACATCTCTTTGCTGGGATCTTGTCTTCTATTAAAATCTTTCCTTACTTGTCTCACAATGTGAGCAACAAAATTTTCTGTTTGAAAATCAGGCCTGTGTTATTTTGTTCTTAACAGTTTAGTCTCTTCTCTGGGAACAGGAAAAGTGACGCTGGTGATGATTCCACCTTTTGGACTCTAGGCTATATTGTGCATCATTTGGCTCTGATATTATAGTGGATGTGGGCCAGATCCAGTGATTCTCCAAGAGTAACCAGGAATCTCCAGTTCTTCTAAAAGCCTTTTATTCTGTATTAGCATAAAGCAGAATAAATATCTCCCATATTTTGGAAATAGGGGGGATGGAAGAATAGATTATTTGACTTTAAAAATGCTTTCTTCTTATGATGTCTTTGAGAGGGAAACCAAACTGGATTTATAAACCATTTCCTAATGACTTTCTCTTCATCTCCTACGTAATTAACAAATACTTGTACTGTTCAATCTCCAGTGCTCTTGCTTTGCAAAATTATTTCAGCCCTTTGGATGTCATTCCCTCCCTCTGCCAAAAAAAGACATAAGAACAAAAAAGGCATAATTGGTTTGGAAATGTTACATGGGAGGATTTCAGAAGAGAATTAAGAGTAAGCAGTGAGGGAAGACCCTCTGGTTAATTCGCAGATGGAAGGAAGAGCTTAGAACATTATCAGAGTTGGAAGGGACCATGGAGGTCTTCTAGTCCAACCCCCTGCTCAAGCAGGAGACAAATGGCTGTCCAGTCCCTTCTTAAAAACCTCTTTGAACTTTGAACGGTCACTAAATGAACTGTTGTAAGTCGAGAATGACCTGCAACAGAGTTGGAAGGGACCTTGCAGGTCTTCTAATCCAACTTTCTGCTCAAGCAGGAGACCTTGTACCATTCCAGGTAAGTGGCTGTCCAGTCTCTTCTTAAACGGCTCCAGTGATGAAGCACCCCCAATTTCTGAAGGCAAGATGTTCCACTGATTAATTGTTCTCACTGTCAAGAAATTTCTCCTTAGTTCTAGGTTGCTTTTCTCCTTGGTTAGTTTACATCTGTTGCTTCTTGTTCTGATTTCTGTTGCTTTGGGAAATAGCTTGATGCCCTCTTCTTTGGGGCAGCCCCTCAAATATTGGAACATTATTACCCAGTCCTTCTTTTTACTAGACTAGTCATACCCAATTCCTGTAACTGTTTTTCATATGTTTAGCCATCAGTCCCCTAATCATATTTGTTGCTCTTCTCTGCATTCTTTCCAGAGTCTCAACATCTTTTTTATATTGTGGTGACCAAAACTGGATGCAGTATTTCAAGTGTGGTCTTAGCAAGGCATTGTAAAGTGGTACTAATATATCACATGATCTTGATTCTATCCCTCTGATAATGCAACATAGGAATTTATTGGCTTTTGGGGTGGCTGTTGCATACTGCTGGCTCAGATTTAAGTGATCATCCATTAGGACTCCAAGTTCCCTCTCACAGTTACTGCTTAGAATAGAATAGAGCTGGAAGGGACCTTGGAGGTCTTCTAGTCCAGCCCCTGCTCAAGCAAGAGAACCTATACCATCTCAGACAAGTGACTGTCTAGCCTCTTTTTAAAAATCTCCAGTGATGGAGTGCTTACAATTTCTGGGGGCAAGCCGTTCCACTGGTTAATTGTCCTCACTGCCAGGAAGGTTCTCCTTAATTCCAGGTTGCTTCTCTCTTTGATCAGTTTCCAACCATTGTTTCTTGTCCTGCCCTCTGGTGCTTTGGAGAATAATTTGACCCCCTCTTCTTTGTTGCAGCCCCTCAAATACTGGAATACTGCTATCATGTGTCCCCTATTTCTTCTTTTCTTTGGACTACCAAACCCAAGTCCCGAAGCTGTTCTTCGTATGTTTTAGTCTCCAGGCCTTTGATCATCTCACTTGCTCTTCTCTGAATTTTTTCCAAACTCTGAACATCTTTTTTGTAATATGGGGACAAAATTGGCTGCGGTATTCCAGGTGTGGTTTACTATGGTTTTCTAAAGTGGTACTAATACTTCACGTGATCTTGATTTTATGCCTCTGTTTATACAACCCAGGACTGTATTAGCTTTTTTGGTTGCTGCTGCACACTGCTGGCTCATGGTCAAGTGATGGTCCACTAGGACTCCAAAGTCCCTCTCACAGTTATTGTTTTTAAGCCAGGTCTCGCCTAATCTATACTTGTACCTCCTTTGATTTTTCCTGCATAAATGTAAAACTTTGCTTCTCTCCACATTGAAACTCATTTTGTTGGATAGGGCCCATTGTTCTAGTCTGTCAAAATCTTTTTGGATCCTGAGTTTGTCTTCTGGGGTGTTAGTTACTCCTGCCAGTTTAGTGTCATCTGCAAATTTGATGAGTTCCCCTTCAATTCCCTCATCTAAGTCATTTATGAAAATATTGAAGAGTACTGGGCCTAAGACCGAACCTTGTAGTACCTCACTGTTTACTTCTCTCCATGTGGATGCAGTGTCATTGAGGACTACGCATTGAGTACGGTTTGTCAGCCAGCTACAGAGCCATCTGATGGTGACGTTGTCTATTCCACCCTTTTCTACCTTACCAAGCAGTAGATTGTGGTCTACTTTATCAAGTGCCTTACTGAAATCTTAAGTATACTATGTCCACAGCAATTCTCTGGTCTGCTACTTTAGTTTATACAACCCAGGATTGTATAACCTTTTTTGGCTGCTCCTGCACACTGCTAGCTCATAGTCAAGTGATCGTCCACTAGGACTCCAAAGTCCCTCTCACAGTTTCTGCTTTTGAGCCAGGTTTCACATAATCTGTAATCTTTAATTTTTCCGGCCTAAATGTAAAACTTTGCTTTTCTCCACATTGAAACTCATGTTGTTGGATAGGGCCCATTGTTCAAGTTTGTCAAGATCTTTTTGGATCCTGAGCTTGTCTTCTGGGGTGCTGGCTATTCCTGCCAGTTTAGTGTCATCTGCAAATTTGATGAGATCCCCTTCTATTCCCTCATCTAAGTCATTAATGAAGATACTGCCCTGGGCCTAAGACAACCTTGTGGTACCCCACTGCTTCATATGTGTGAATGTATCAGGACCACAGACACTGAAAAAGACTTGAATGAAGTGTGTCAGCCTCAAATGACCACAGCACCAGTTTCCTGAAAAATCCTGAAAGACAATGAGCTGCTTCTATAGGCTGTACTCATATGAGACCTGAAGTATCTCTTCCAAATAATTTTCAAGGTTTGCATATGTCTAGAGATATACTTCTTCGGATGTCTGACCAGAACTTCATATGTGTCTGAAAAAATGTTAAATGTTAAATTGAAGGCCTTGGAAAAAATACATTATCTTCAAATGTTAGCTTTACTGAAATTGATTTGGATGGCAGTGATAGCATTTTCAGGGTGGTGTATCTATTTTTCAAATGGTAGTAATAGATATTACTCAGAAAATACCTGTGCATGGACTGAATGCTGACTCTCCAGCTTTTATTTGTGTCACCACCTCCACCCTTCCTTGCCTCAAAGACATGGAGTTGCACATTGTATTGTCAAAGCATTTGATAAGC